TCAGAGAATAATGTGAGAAGCAGAGAAACAGATCTGAGTTGCCTCACTGCCAGCCTTGAAGATGGAGGAAGGAGCCCAAAGGAACACAGGTCCTTCAAAGGTGGGAAAGGGAAAGAAAGGGACTTCCTCTGGAGCCTCCAGAAAGAAGGAACCCCATCTTTTTTTTTAGCTCATTTTAGATTTGTGACCTCCCAAACCATAAGATAATAAATCTGTGTTGTTTTCAACCACTAAGTTTGTGGCAATTTGTTCCAGCAGTAATAAGAAAGTAATACACAGGAAGCTGTGCCCAGAGGGTCAAGACATTTGACCCCAAGAAAGCGATATGCATCCAGAACATGATTGGAAGATATAGTGAGTCCAACAGATTGAAGCAATGAGAAAAATGGCACCAGTTTATATAGTATGCTAAAACATAAATAAAACCAAACAAACAAAAAATGCAAAATTTATAGGTAAAACCCATTGTGCTATGTGTTCTCCATCATCAAATGGCCCTGCCTTTGTATAACTGAGATCATTTATTCATTTACTCACTCATTTAAATATTTACAAAGGCTTCCTGTGTTTACTATTTCAGGTAATAGCACCAACATTCACCAAGTTAAATAGGTCATCCTTGATTCCCTCCTCTCCCACGCCTCCACCGCCTCCTTGCATCCCTCAGTCAAAACAGTGACCACATCTTGTTGCTTCTAACTCTAAATTTTCTCTTCAATATCTATGGCCACCCCTCTAGTTCAAGCCACCATCACCCCTCTCTCTAGGTTTACTGAAACAGCTTCCAACCAGTCACCCTTTCTCCAGCTTTGCAAGCCTCCAACCTGCTCTTCATGTGCTGCAGCCAGATTGAGCCTTCACAAACCCTCATCTGAGGACACCTTTCTCCTTCCCTACTTAAAACCCTTAATGACTCTCCAATTCCTTCAGGATAAAGCCCCAACTCCTCAACAAAGCTAGCAAAGCCTGATAGATCCCCTCTAGCCTCTTCTCTTGACCCTCACACTCCAGCCATACTGAACTTCTTTTAGACCCTTCGAGCATGCTCTCTCATCTCTGGGACTTTGCACCTGATGATCTATCTACATGCAACAATCTTCTGCCTCCTTTCTTCCAGACTCATTCCTACCTATCTTCAGATTCAATTCCTCTAAAAAAACACTTCCCAAACTCCCTCCCTAATTCAGGTTACATAGCAATATATGCTTTTATTTTATTCTATACTTTCTAAAGTAAGAACCTTCTGGAGGTAACATTCTCCATTTCTTCTACTGGGTAGAAATTAGTGCTAAAATTAGTACCAGAATTACTCCTAAATACAATAAATGTTGCATTTATCACTAAAGGGAATATGAAACAATAATGATAAATCTGTGGTATACTCATTTAAGGAAAAAGCAGCTTCCAAAGCAGATAAAGATTTTCAAGAGGAAGAAGATTCTTACAGCTTCATAAAAACATCACATGTTATTTGCAAAATTATAAAGACTATTCATTTGTTGGGAGTCTTTGATTTTCTATTTGAAATTTTCCTCTTGCAATGTTTTGTAGAGATTCAACCTGAATAACTTAATTTCATGTTCAATAGAACTAATTCATTTATCATAAAATTTTTAAATAACTTAAAATCAGTTTACCTTTATATATGATAAACTAAAAGACTCTATGGAAAACATACCCATACACAAACACTAATATAAAGAAATGTAAAAACAACATAAAGCATCTATTAACAGGAAACTGCTCAAATAAATTGTCATACATTCAGTGGATTCATTCAGCCACTTGAAAAAATAAGAGCTATATCTACTGATATGAAAAGATGTTATGTGACCAAAAGCAATCTGCAGAACAGTATGTATAATTATGTTACTGGAATCACAATGTTTTCTAAATTGGGGGAGGGAGGGTATAAAAAAAAACTTCTGAACACAAACAAGTTTTTCAACAGCCAATTTTATTTTTAGAATCCAAAATAGTAACAAGTCATCTATCAAAAGAAAAGTCATTATGTTTGAAACTATATAGAGTGAGCTCTTCAAACATAGTCAATTGTACAGTGTTACAGAAAAGTATATATTGTGTGATAATATGCAGAAATCTCTATCAGTCAGCACTTCAGCAATATCTATCATATGACTGATGGTCATAGTACTATAAATTCCTAAGATGCTTTCAACATCAAAGACAAAATTAATGTTTAGTGCATATGCTACATTTTATTACATCCTAGTTCTTCGGAAATTAGTAATTTATTGATAAAATAAATGGCAACTTTCTGTTAAAACAACCTACTATGTAACAATGTAATAACATGAGAAAATGTTTTGTGTTTTTAGAAGGAGAAACACTAAAGAAATACAAATGCAATGACTGCCTTATCTTGTAAACATGCCTCCTGAGGCATTTCTTTATGGCATTTAAATTTCAATTAAAAATTGTGAAACTGGAAGTGAGATAAACTTACTGACAGACTCAAGTTTCCTATTCTCTCAAATTCTATGTACATCACATGGTTCATTAGGTATGTAAAGGTGTATCTGATATCAAAGTATAGAAAGCAATAGGTAATAAGAAGAAAGTAAAACACATGAACACAGACATACACAGACATGTTACTGAAAGTAAACTATAACAATACATATTAACCTTAACGCCTGACTTTCCTCCTCAACAGTTGGCTTGAGAAAAATTATTGAAATAACTGAACTTTCTTAACTCCAAACTTGAGATATACAGGGGGAAAAAAATAATAGAAGAGTGCTGCATAGTAAAAATATAGTGAATACACCAAAACTAAATGGGAAAATACAAATTAGGAAACATTACTTCTGAACTGGCCAATTCTCCAAACACCATTGGACTCATTTAGTTTTTAGTAATAGCATGTATGTTGCTGACATTCTTCTCTTATCGCACACTTTGATCTACCATCACAAATTATTTCTTACTATTTTTTTTATTAATGAAGTATTCAAAAATAAAACTATATCCATGGCAGAAATGAATCTGGGCCATACAAACAACTCTGCGCAGAGAAGTTACGTAATGCCAGGAATATAAATAAAGGGCAGTGTGACACACAAAAAAAGGGGGTGGACTGAATTCCGAGTGGACTTAGTAGGTTATTTGCTTTCTCTGAGCTTCAGTTTCCTCACCTGTAACATTCAGATTAACACCAACTACATTACAGGATTACTAAGAGGTTTAACATTAATGTAACTAAAGCACTTAAAACACGTACCTGCACTGTCTAGGTAATAATGTGTTTGATAAATAGCAAGTTACTATGCTTACAGGTATTAAATTAATCAATGAGTAAGAGCTCATCACTGCCTCTGGCACTACCTTTACTTCCTGTGCCTCTCAGGCCCTTGAGTGTAGCTTGAAACTTTTTTTTTTTTTTAAAGATTATATTTATTTATTTGACAGAGAGAGACATAGCGAGAGAGGGAACACAAGCAGGGGGAGTGGGAGAGGGAGAAGCAGGCTTCCCGCTGTGCAGGGAGCCCGATGCGGGGCTCGACCCCAGGACCCTGGGATCATGACCTGAGCCTAAGGCAGACGCTAAACGACTGAGCCACGCAGGCGCCCCGAGTGTAGCTTGAAACTTTTTATCCAAATTAAACAGCATAGAAATAATAATAGCTATATGTCAGGCACTGTACTATTTACATGGATTATTTCATTTAATCCTCACGGCAATCCTCCCATTGGTAAGGTAGGAACTATTATTAACCTTCTTTTACAGATTAGAAAATTTAGGCTTACAAAGATTAAATAACTTGCCTAAGGTCATACCCACGGTAAAGCCTGATTTCAGAGCCTGCATACTTAGCAATTTTGCTATGCTAAAAAGAAATATTACTTTTAATTCAATAATGTCAAAATAGCAGACACCTACTATCCAAAGCTGTTAATGAATTTTTGAAACACATCAATCAGACAACTTGTATCAGAATCTATGCTAGAAGATTCTCACCAGTTTTCACTTTTTCATTCAAATCCAACCCAATCTCCTCCCAAAGAAAACCTGAGGTGGCTAGAATTCCAATTCCTAATAATTTAAGTGCCAAGAAAGGTGATCTTATAGCAGTTCACCAACTGCTTATCTTCTGATAAAGTAGTTATTAGCGCTCTTCACACAAGCAAAACAAAACCCAAAGTGTGACTTGGACTGGGCCTGCAAAAATACATCTCTTCACTTGAGAACTGGATCAGCAACTCCGCCATGCCTACTACAAAGCACTCTTAAATCCATAAAATTCAACTTGAAAAGATTAGTTAGGAACCAGGAGTGACTGGGTGAGGAAGGACACCTTCCAAAAGCTTCCCCAGATTTCCAGGGCAATCTACAAGCCTTCCTTTTCTTTTTCAATACACCCCCCAAGGCAGCCCTCCAAACTAAGGGGTGTAGCTGGGAAAGCAGAGCCCTGCCTGGACTGGAGAGAACAAACAGGGAAGAGTCTGTAAACTTTGCTAGAGGGCAAAATGACCGTCTGTGTCGTTCTCTTTCCAAGGTCAGTGACTTCATTAATTCTTCCAAAGGATGGTGTTGAGTAATCAAGTGACCCTATATGTGCTCGGCGCCTGGGGATAAGGGTACCCCTGGAGACCTTCAACTAGCTTCAGGCTCTGATCTCCCTCTCGTTTCTAAAGCAGACCAGTAACGGCTCGATACCTCTTCCCCAACCTACTAGGTCCGCACCTGCCGTCCCCCGCCCCTGCACACCTGTTGCCCCTCGCACCGCACCAAGGTGGGCTGGAGAGGGCACGCAAAACTTCACCTTGACAGCCCCAGGGACCAATCAGAGGACACGGCTCTCGCGGCGGGCCAATCGCAGAGTGTCTTGGATCCCGCAGCTCCAAGACCCGACCAAACCAGCGCTTCGACTCGGCGGAGCGCCGGGGGTTCTCGAGCCCGCAGACTGAGGCGCGGCAGCCCCAAGAAGGCGAGGAAAGGCTCGCGAGGAAAAGAGAAGACAAACAGAAGTACTCACCCGCCCTGGCGCGGGATGGTCACTTCTCCCTGCAGGGTGACATCTCGGTTCAATCTGTGCGAAGCTGGCACGCCCCTGACCAACTGCCGCCGCCTCCGCCTGGGTCTCAGGGCTCGCCGCGGTTCGCTGCCTGTTTCGAAAGGACCAATCAGAAGGCGGAGGGGGGGCGTGGCCGGAGGCCCCGCCCCAGGCCGCCGGGAGCACGCGACCCGCGCGCGCGTCTCAGTCAGCCGGGTGCGCCCCGCCTTCCACCGCTTGGAGTCTCCCAAGTCTGGTGCCCAAGCCCCGCTTTCCACAGAAAAGCGAAGTGGCTTGGTCACGGAGCAGGTCCCCCCCCATCTGGCCCCTCGGCGACCTCAACAGCCCCGATATTTGTCCCGATAGGCAGAAGAGGTGAATCAACGTCGTCTGTGAGCATTCTGGAGAGTTGCAGGGTACAGTTCAAGGGTGTTGCCCTGAGTCTTAACCAGATCTGTTAAGAGCCCCTCCCAACCATAAACCACTGGAGATCTGGCTGTAGTGAGGGCGCCACGGTTTCCGGAGACAAACTGTCACCCAGTAGGAATAGGAGTCCTACGGAGAAACCTTCCCGACAGAGGTCCCTCTTCCTGTGAGGGTTGGTGTTGAAAGATGGAGAGTATCCTGTAGCTGCGGGCCACAACTGGAAGCAAACAGAGGATGTTGGGCTGTTACTTCAGGAAACACACGAGAAGGGGGCGGGGGGTGGTAAAAAATTAACGTCATCACAATGAGGGACGCTTACTAGCTCGGAGGGTTGAAATAGAGCAGAGACTGGACTTCAAGGTAGCAATAAATAGGTCTCTTATAACTGTAACTGCAATGTGACTTGTTAATAGTGGGGGGGTGGGGAATCAGTGGCCAGAAGCCTGGAGGTCCAGATCCTTTCCTCTTAGTTCGATTTTATCAGATCATATCACCTCTCTGGTCCTCAGTTTCCCATCTGTAAAATGAGGGCGTTGATCTGGAATGATGTTCTCTCTCTAGAATTTATTCCTTCATTCACTCATCAAAAACAATCAGGAACGGGGCAACTGGGTGGCTCAGTCCTTAAGTGTCTGCCTTCAGCTCAGGTCATGATCCTAGGGTCCTGGGATGGAGCCCTGCATGGGACCCCGTGTTCAGCAGGGAACCTGCTTCTCCCTCTCCCTCTGCTGCTCCCCCTGCTTGTTCTTGCTCTCTCTGTCAAATAAATAAAATCTTTAAAAAACAAAAAAAACAATGAGAGGTCCTGCTGCTGCTTTGCTGAGGGACTAAAATGAAGAAGACAGTCCCTGCCTTCAAAGTGCTCAGCGTGGTAAAGGCTCAATGGAGGTCTGAAAAGGAGAGAACACCTAACAGTCTTGGAAGGTGATGGCCAGAGGTTTGAAAGGAGCTGAGTTTTGAAGGATGATTAGGAATCTAACAAGAGCAAGGATAATGGGGGATAAGGAGTGCTTTCCAGGCAAAGAGAACACATGGTTCCAGACATGTGAGAGCACCTGGAATGTTCTGGGAATAGTAGTTTTGAATGACTAAAGATTAGGGATTGGGAGATAGATCAAACTGGAAGAGTAGGCACAGATGAAAGGTCTGGTAGGTGCTGAGGAGTTTAAAATTTTCCTTGCAGTCATTTGGGATTGGTTATAAAAAGGGAATGATATGACGGTATGTTTTAGAAAAAAAAAAAAAAACAATTTCCAAGGATTTTTGAAAAACAGAGTGAGACTGGTGACAATTCTGAAAACTAAAAGTTAACAATTACCTAAACCAATTCAAAAGGGATGGAGAGGAAGAGGCCTCTGGAGATACCTAAGAAGCTGACTTATCTGGACTTAGTAATCATGTCATAATGGTGCCAATCTAAGAAACACAGGGAAAACAACCATGGGGAAAGAAAACTGCACTTTGGTTTGGTGTGTGTTCAGGTTGAAGTGTGAGAGGAACATGCAGGTAGAGGTGCTCAGAAGGGGTTTAATTGGTTGGTGCAGGAGATAGATATTTGAGAAGTTAATTCAACAAGTACTTGCCCCACACCAGACTCTATCCTAGCACAAAGGGTCCTGTTCTCACAGAGCTTACATTCTGGGGTGGGGCGGGTAAGATGGTCATCCAAAACTTGACATGTAAGTGGTAATTCAACCTGATGCCCTATAGTGGGCCTTCTTTTTACTGAATTGGTCCCAGAACCCTTTGGTGCCCCTGACTACAATAGATCAATTGTCACCTATTGTTCAAATAAATGTATGTTTTATAGTGTTTCTGTTTAAAACTAAGGACAATTTGTCATATTATTTCATGTAGCCAAATTTCCAAGTGGAGTAATAGCTTTAAATTGGACTTATTGAGTACTAATATCAAAATCTGTACACTTCTCTACAGAACTTTAAGAGTTGTTTGATGAGTCATTAGTTAACAATTTTTTCTTACATGCATACTATGTGCCTAAGCATTTGAATACCACTTATTAAAAATTGAAAGTATGCTATACTTATATATGTACATAAACACTCTGTCTCTCTCTCTCTCTCTCTCTCTCACACACACACACACACACACACAGACACACATCCCACTTAATATTTCTAAACCATTTACTGAAACTTTGACAGCAGGGTATTTTATGCTTTCTTTTTATTCTCATTGTCTATGTAGTTTGTCTTGGTAACTTCTGTACCTTATAAAGATACAAGACAGGAGGAAAGTGAATCTGCAATCAAAAAGTCTAAGCAAATCACTTCTCTTTAAGCCCATATCCCTTACTGGTTAGATGTGTACATTGGGTGAAGAGTTCCCTTCTAAATTCTTTGATTCTTGTTGCTTTTCCCTTCTGTATAATAAGAAAGTTCTCTTGTTGCTTTCTTAACCTCATTTTTATTTCCCAGTTAGTACCATTTTAGTTCCCAGTTAGTACCTCACTCCCTAAGTGCACTCACCATCTTACCTATCTTGATTTTAACACTACAATTAGTAATTGAGGGTTCTACCTAATGAGGTGAAATCTACTTTCATGTGTAGATTTTCTAATTGGTGGTTAGGTTAATAGCTATATTTTAGAGGTTCTTACTTTACTTGAAATTGCCATGGTTGCAACATGCAGAGCAAGCTTCACCAGTCTGTTTTCATCAGATGATAAAGTCTATTAGTTATGACTTTGCCAGAATTGTGAAGATGTGCCCCCACTTTAAGAAAGCACCATGCTTGGAAATCTAAATTTAAGTTAGTACATTAGGAATAATCACTTATCTGACTAATCAAATAGAAGAGCCTCTCAAAATCATATACCCCTTGGATGTCGAAATATGATTTGGCTTTTTCACAGCCCTGCAAGAATGCTCTATTGCTTAAAATATACCATAGTTACAAAAATAAACTCAAAATGGACTAAGGGCTTAAATGGGAGACCCAAAATCATAAGAATCCTTGAAAAGAACACAATTTTTCTTACATCGGCCGTAGCAACATTTTTCTAGATTTATCTCCCGAGGCAAGGGAAACAAAAGCAAAAATAAACTATTGGTTCTACATCAAAATAAAAAGCTTCTGCACAGCAAAGGAAACAATAAAACTAAAAGGCAGCATAGAGAATAGGAGAAGATATTTGCAAATGGCATATCTGATAAAGGGTTACTATCTGAAATATATAAAGAACTTATACAACTCAACACCAAAAAAAACCAAACAATCCAATTAAAAATGGGGAGAAAACATGAACAGACATTTCTCCAAAGAAGACATACAGGTGGCCAACAGACACATGAAAAGATGCTCAACATCACTCATCATCAGGGAAATGCAACACCACAATGAGATATCACCTCACACCTGTCAGAATGGCTAAAGTCAGGGTACCTGGGTGGCTCAGTTGGTTAAGCATCCAACTCTTGATTTTGGATCAGGTCGTGATCTCAAGGTTGGGAGTTGAGCCCCGCATTGGGCTCCATGCTGGGTGTGAAGCCTGCTTAAGATTCTCTCTCCCTCTCCCTCAGCCCCTCCCCCAAAGCCCCCTCACTTTAAAAAAAAAAAAAAGGAATGGCTGAAGTCAAAAATACAAAGAACCGTAAGAATATAAGAAGCAACAAGTGTTGGCAAGGATGTGGAGAAAAAGGAAATCTCATGCACTATTAGTGGGAATGCAAACTGGTGCAGCCACTGTGGAAAACAGTTGGAGATTTCTCAAAAAATTAAAAATAGAACTACCATATGATCCAGTAATTACACTACTGGGTATTCACTCAAAGAATACAAAAACACTAATTTGAAAAGATATATGCACCCCTATGTTTATTGCAGCATTATTTACAATAGCCAAATTACGAAAGCAGCCCAAGAGTCCATCAATAGATGAATGGATAAAGAAGACATGATAGATAGATAGATAGATGATAGATAGATAGATAGATAGATGATAGATAGATAGATGATAGATAGATGATAGATAGATAGATAGATAGATAGATGATAGATAGATAGATGATAGATAGATAGATGATATAGATAGATAAATAAATGATAGATAGATGATAGACAGATAGATACACACAACATATATATATATATACAGTGGAATATTACTCATCCATAAAAAAGAATGAAATCTTGCCATTTGCAACAACATGGATGGATCTAGAGAGTATAATGCTAAGTAAAATAAGTCAGAGAAAAGACAACTATCATATGATTTCACTCACATGTGGAATTTAAGAAAACAAATGAACAAAGAGAAAAAGAGACAAACCAAAAAACAGACTCTTTAACTATAGAAAACAAACTGATGGTTACCAGAGGGGAGGTGGTGGGGGGTTGGGTGAAATAGGTGAAGGGGATTAAGAGTACACTATTCTTGAGGAGCACTGAGTAATATATAGATTTGTTGAATCACTATATTGCACCCCTGAAACTAATATAACACTGTATGTTAAGTACACTGGAATTTAAAAAAAAAAAAAAATTTTTTTTTTTTTTTTTGCTTTTGATGGGTTTATCAGTTGTTTTGTTCTGCATTTTGTGGCTGTTGCTGCTGGTTGCATTTAATTCCTTGACATTATTGAGTGTCAATCTATGGATTATACCTTGTGTGAAGTACTGGATAAAATTTGGGGGCAATAGAGGGCTTGATTTATTCATAATTAACTAAACTACTCATTCAGCAGATAATCTATTGAGAGCCAACTACATTAAAAACAATACTAAGCTTATCTTAAAGAAATGTTACAGATTTGCATTAACAAATAATATGTATAAGGAATTCAATGATATAAAATTTGATAACAACAGTTGTTGATAACAAAATTTGATAACAACAGTTGTTGTATCTATGTAGTGGATTGAATAGTTTGCCCCCTCCCCAAAATTCATATCCATCTAGAACCTCAGAATGTGACCTTATTTGGAAATAAGATCTTTACAAATGACCCCCCTCCTCAGTTTTGATAATTTGCTAGTATGGTTCACAGAACTCAAGAAAACAGTTTACTTTCTATTACTGGTTTATTATAAAGGGTACAACTCAGTAATAGCCAAATGGAAGAGGCACAGGGCTAGGTATGGGGGTGGGGGAGAGGACATGGAGCTTCCATGCTCTCTCCAGCACACTGACCTCCCAGCACCTCAATGTGTTCATCAACCCAGAAGTTCTCCAAACCCGTCATTTAGGTGTTTTTATGGTAGACCCATTACATAAGCATTATTGATTAAATCCTTGGCCATTGGTGATTGACCTCAATCTCTGGGATCATCTTCCTTCCTCAGAGTCTGGGAATGAGGCTGAAAGATCCAGCTCTCTAATCACATGGTTGGCTCCTCTAGCAATCATTCCCCATCCTGAAGCATCTACAGCCCCACTCCTATCACCTTATTAGCATAAACTCAAGTCTGGTTGAAAGGGGCTTGTTTTGAATTACAAAAGATACTCCTTTCACCCCATCAGGAAATTACAAATGTTTTAGAAGCTCTGTGTCAAACTGGGGACAAAGAACCTACATTATTTCTTATTTTATCACAATTAGTTTTCCACATGAGAAGAATTATTATTTACTATTACAAGGTCTTAACTATGTGAATAAATCCACACCTACATGATAAACTCCTAGCTCTGTCTACAGTGCTCCGTCAGTTCCAGTTCATTTTCCATCACTTTCCCTACAAGGCATCTGCCTTGTAATCTGGGAAACACCAAACCACATTCAATTTCTCAAACTGGATCTCCTCCTTCAGGCATTCAGAAATTGACTTCTCTGTCTGAAGTGTCCTTTCTTTACCACCCCTCTTCCTTGGTGGGCCTGCAACTTCCCACTTTTCATTCATTAGCTCAATCCCTTGAGATGGTAGGCGCTGGTATCTTCATTTCACAATGGTGAAACAGGCTCAGGAAGGGTTGTGCTAAGGGTTGTCTCTCCCAAGATTACTTGTGCTTTTTTAAAATCTGCACAACTCATCACCCCCTGCTTTTGCTCCTGCCACTCCTTTCACCTTGAACCCCCTTCCCTCTCACCCTGATCCAAGGAAGTCCTGGCTACCCTTCCAAGTCCAAGGGAATTGCCACCTTCTCCATGAGACTTGCCCAGTGAGCCCATAGAACTTGCCTCTGCACTTCTTTGTAAACCCCTCCAGGCAGTTACCGTGTCCTAAGAATCTTGTACTTAGTGAGGACACAAATCTTCTTGTTGTAGCAAGTGGAATCCAACTAACGCTAGTCCCACCTCATTCCACTATGTTTAGGACTTTGGCGTGCTAAGCAAGCTCCATTTTGTCTGGCTTCAGGAGAAAGGGACATATAAGCCCATTACTTATAGAAGGTGTTTTATTGTATTCACCAAAGGATAATGGGGAGAAGAATGCAACAGTATAACAATGAATGAAGGAAATGAAATAATTCCTGCTTTGGGGAAGTATACAACAGCTGTGCACCCAGCTGTAGGAGTGTTTTCCAAAAGCAAAACAAAACAAACCAAAAAAAAAAAAAAAGATTAATTATATGCACTGAAGCGAATAGTGAGTGCTCTTAAGAGAGAAAAGGGAATATCCCATCATGGGAGTTGTCTGCATTTGTAAATGCTGCTTCAAGATCCTAACCGCGAAAGGGTTTGCTTGAGGGAATACTTTATGTGAGAATCATTAATTTTTCTGTATGTTATCTCTTTGAACTTCAAAGAAAATGAAATGATCCAAGGGCTATTACAAATAAGTGAGTATTCACCAGGACTTCTCCAGGGATGAGAAAAACACCATTTGTGTTATGAGAGTTTATCTTTTTGTTAATTACCCATCACCCCTACCCCCCCCCCCAGACACACATACACCAGGCCCAATAGGATGTGATTCACCATTTAAAGATATGGGTTTGTATTTTTCAAATTTTGTTCCAGAAGAAAAGCCTGTTGCCATTATGTTCAGTTTATTGCCAAAATTGAACACAACTCTGATAAAATGTATGCAAATAAGGTAAGATGAAGAGCAAAATGAAATTTTCCCTATTTCAACAGATAGAGGTGAAGAATGATCAATTTAATTAGGCAAACAGGGCATGCCAATTAGAATGAAAGAGTCCCTGAAGCCTTGTAAAATACAATGTAAAGAAAGTCATCCTATCTAGCTCTATATTTACAACTATGGAAGTTATGTAATTACTGCATAAATATTCATCAAAATTCTTGTGTGAAACCAGGTACAAATGAAATAAAAGAAAGTTATACATCAGATTTATATTATGAGGGAAATAAAGAGCTAGATGCTATTGCCCCTTCGATGCTCATCATTGCACATCCCAGATTTCACAGAGAAGTGGGGTAAACTTATGGTCATTTACTCTCCATGACATCAGCATCTCTGCATGGTGATGATTGAAAGTCCGCAACTCAGTCAATCGACCCAGGAGACAGGCAAAATGTTGAGGATTTTCAGGCTGATAAATCTTGCACAACTTTTGGAGCACATCAAGCAGTGGTTCCTGAAGCTTCTCTACTGCCTCTCTGTCCTTTATGTATTGTCTGTCTGTTTTGAGGTTTAAAATATAAAGACAAAATTAAAAAGTGGAGAAGTGTTAATTTGGCATAATTATAGCAACAGTAACTTGCTTACAATGTAACTTACAAATGTGCACTTTTAAATGTACATAAGTGTTTAACTTGATGAATTCACACACACACACACACACACACACGTATGCATGTAATCACAACTAGATCAAGATATAGAACATTTATTGCCCCCCCACCAGAAGCCTCCCTAAATTCTCCTTCTAATCTATGCCCCCAAAGGTAACCCATATGGTGGACATATGTATCATTTCTAGTGGGTATATTCTAAGTAGCGGAATTGCTGGGTCATAGAGTATATATGTGTAACTTTAGTATGTATGACCAAAAAGTTTTTCTTTATTTTAATTATTTGTTTTATGGTAAAACAAAGTAACAACTAGTTTCTGCCTTGATATTATGTATAAAGATGGTTTAAGGCTAACATTGAAATTATGCTTTACAAATCATGAACGTGGCATCGCTCTCAGATTATTAAAATAATCCAAAAATACAGACAAATTTTATGTGCAGAGATATCCATTTTGACATTGTTTAAACAACAGAAAAAAGGAAACATCCTGAATATCCAAACATGGTAACAAGTAAACGATTGTCCATCAATATGATGGATACATATATTTCAACAAACTTTTACTGATATAATTTTCTTTGAGAGAGAGAGAGTGCATGCATGGGCACACAGAGGGGGAGGGGCAGGGGGAGAGGGAGAGAGAGAATCTTAAGCAGGCTGCATGCCTAGCACAGAGCCTAATGGAGGGCTTGATCTCACAATCCTGAGATCATGACCTGAGCCGCAATCACGAGTCAGACACTTAACTGACTGAGCTACCCAGGTGCCCCATTACTGATATAATTTTTTAATGACATGGGAAAATAAACTTAAGAAAAGGATAGTATGTTCTCTATTATTTTAAAAAGTATGTAATTCCATTTAGGTCCCTGTTCAAATACCAATCCTTCAGAAAAGCCTTTCCTGACTACTACTAATAGTAACATTCTGCCACTTTCTTTCCTTATATCCTCATCTTTATATATATATATTAGCATTACTACCTCCTGAAAATTATTTTTGTTTCCTCATTTATTGTCTTTCTCACCCTACTGGAGTGCAAACTCCATGCAGCTGTCTCCTACCCGTTTCTTTACTGCTATATCCCCCAATGTCTGGAACCATGTTTAGTGCTTAGTAGGTGTTCAAAATGCAATTATTCAATGAATGAGTGTGATGTTTAGAAAAAAGGCTGAGGGTGCCTGGGTGGCTCAGTTGGTTAAGCGACTGCCTTCGGCTCAGGTCATGATCCTGGAGTCCCGGGATCGAGTCCCACATCGGGCTCCTGGCTCAGCGGGGAGCCTGCTTCTCCCTCTGACCCTCTCCCCTCTCATGCTGTTTCTCTGTCTCTCTCTCTTTCTCTCAAATAAAT